TCAGCTAAACAACCACCCAAGAAAGTAAAAGCACAAGTCCTCCTACCACCGTTCCAGCCGTCCGCGCCCTCTCGCCTCGTCTTGTGCTCTGTTCGGCGTCCCAGCAGCTCCACTCCGTATCCTCTGGGCCGGCCGGACCCAGGCGGTAGGTCGGCGCTGAGCCACTGACCACCTTATACGGAACCGGTGAGGTGTCACTCAGCCCGATAGGATCGCTGCCTCCCGACCACACGCCGCCTGCAGCCGCCAAAAGACGGAAAACGTCCGGCGACCGGCGTCCCGACGTCCAGCGATCGTCGTTCCGACGTACAGTGATCGTCGTCCGACGTCCAGCGATGGTTACCCAACATCCAGCATTTGTCGTCCAGTGTTGGTCGTCCACTGTTGGCTGCCCACTATTGGTTGTCCACTTTTGGTCAGCCAACATTATCGTTGGTTGTCCATTATTGCTCGTCCGACGTCCAGTGTTGGTCGTCCAGTGAGGATGGCAGACGCTCAGCGATAGTTCACCCGGCGATTGTCGCCAGACGTCCAGCCAAGCAAAAGTTGTCCAGAAATGGACAGGCGATGAGGATTGGACAAGATTTGTGTTCCATCCGGTGGGAATGATTCACAGAAAAGCCAAAGGAGAGAACATCGAGGAAGTGCACATCTTCCTGGGATCGCTCAGAAGTCTCTCACGTGGGCCGAGGTGGCGGCAACGAGCTTATATAGAAGGTAGCGCGCGTACATCATATTATTATGCACATCCGGGGTGAATTTCACAGTTGAAGATAGGTTCTGTGGCCCATGAGTTAAAGTTTTCCCAACTTTGTGTTATATTTAGGAGAGCAGGTGTTAATTCACAAACACGGCGAAAATCATCGAATGAAATATTAAAGTAACTCCCGTGTGAGGAGGGACACCGAAGTTGCAAAACACGCAGCTACTGCCTGTTTACACAATACACATACCCACTGCAGCTACTGGCGATGAGAGTTGCACTGAGCACGAACTTAATGTGTTGAACAGAAGTTACTTCACTCAGTGAATATGTAAGAGTAGAATTATCAAGCAAGAGCAAGTGTCACGAAGTCAAAGATGCACCAACAGTCAGATGAACCGAACTGACCGCGCAATTAGCACATAAAAGATTAAATAATCCAACTTTCAATCGACCACTAAAACCAGACCGTAGTTGAGTCGGTCAAAGTCGAAAGGTGCTACACTTGGTTGATGTCTGAGGCACCGGTATCGTTTTTGGCGCTAACAGCATGCACATATGCACATTCTACGAGACAGCCTGGAATGATTCACACCTCTGACTGCACACAACCGCTGCTTTATCAAGCCCAGAGGTGGCGCAGGGACCAGCTCGGACGCGTCGCGGCAGTCGCGGCGCCACTGTGCGGCGGATCCGGTGACGCCGCGACAATCAACACGTCACCGATGCTTAGTGCGATCGGTGCAGCCCTTCAATTACCGGCGTCGGCGCACCAGTGAAGTCGTGTGGGCGCTCCAGTGAAGTCGTGTGAGCCGGCCGATAACGTCCGGCTGATCAATGAGGTGGCCGGCGCCGGCCGACGGACGGCAGGTGGGCCTGCGCCGCTCCCGCCACCGCAGCGCCACTCCACAGAACAGGCCGGCGCAACTACGGGCAACGGTCTTGGCTGGATTGTTTAATAGGGTAACCTAAGTCTTTGGTTGCACCCTTAACCACTGATGGGGACTGACAGCTTACACACATGCTCTTGCTAATCGTAAAATGCGACATGCAAGATCGAAGAAAGGTGATGAGGAAAGTTACCTTAACAGGGTAGTCATCTGAAGTGAGCTCCTTCGAGACGCTTGCCCATGACCGGGGATGCCAGTCCTTCTGGAACTACGACTCCAGGGAACTTCAGATCCGGGTACTAGAAAATCTATCAGAAACTTCAAGAAGAACACACTTCTTGCATTTACATTCCCACCTAGCAATCTCCACCAAATTGAAGGTCTTCCCAGGACTTATAATCCCTAAACTAAGAAGCCCCAGACCTGTCGAAATACTGGATCACAAGGAGAGGATCGCCCATCAGAACGGCAAGGGAGCGTTTCCATTTTTCGAGGAGGTACCGTGGCGAACAAGGGCTCGGCCACGTGCACACGCTGGGGCATCCCCACCGTGTGTCTGTGTGTCACGAAGCAAGGAATTTCCACACCGGTCCATTATACGGCGACTGCCACTGTCTGTCGTCGGTGCATCGCCGGGCAGTCACGCTCCGCTGTTGGTTCTTGCAGTTCAGGTTTGGTGATCGTTCCAGGTGCTCAGGTCCAGCTGCTCTCTGCTGAATTGTCTATCAACAGAGTCCATAAGACATGTCGTCCCTGTATGCAGTGCCAACTGGACAGAGACGAAACCTGCCATCCCACTGACCCAGACACAAAGCCCACGGGCCTTCATTAGCCAGCCTGTATGGATATTGGATACAATCTGGCGTCAAATAAATTACTCACAAGTCATGCACCACCTGCTATTACGTAAGTATCATCTTCCCATGAAAACATCACCGTCAAACCGGGGTTCTTTTATTATGCCAGAGACAGTTCCTATTTCACGCTGATCTTGGCTGATATTTGCAAATACCTCAGTGACAGCATCGCTTCTTCTACCCAGACATTCATACAGTGCAACCAATCAACTCCACAAAACTGGCGGTTTTCAGTTATCATATTTCAAGTTAAATTCCTCCAACTTCAACTGAATGCGCTCCAGAATGAGTTGTCGACGCTGGGGGAGCAGCGGCCTGTGTCTGTGTCCCCGGTGACCTCCATGCCACCCCATCCCCTCCGGCCGGCGACACGGAGGGCGCGGGGAACGTGCCACCGCTGTCACACCGGTTCACCCTGCAACTGCCACTGTCCGGTGCACTCGTGCGCGCCAGCCAGCGAGCCGAGAAGCCGGACAATGCGTCCGGCAGCCGCCACCTCAGAAAGGGCATGCATTAGTCGATTGTCAATCAGATAGCGGTGCTACAAGGGACCGCCGACGCAAGTGAAAAATCGGTGAAAACTTGACACGCCGGCGCAGTAAAATGACTCAGCTCACGCTTTGAAAAGAATCCACTGCGAGCAGATTGTCGCAATTCAGCCAGCACTCAAGTCATCGGAGCATAAGATTCACAAAGAAGAAAGAAGCTTGACATTTTCAATCGTTTATGTTTGAAACTGTCGCCACTTGGAGTCGAGTTGTTGTCGATTTTTCCGTGGCGCGCTTGGTTGCGCTGACACGTTCCATTACACAGAGTCGGGTTTCGGGGCGCCGAGTGACGCTATCGCCGGACGGCGTCGTTGTCATTATCGCATTACAGCCGGCCGGTCGATCCTATCGAGGTCCGAATAAAACCGGCAGCGCGACCCACTGTGCGCCACCGCAGTCCGCACGGGGCGCAAACAATCCGGCAGATGCCGACACACTGGGCGGCCAGCTTCCGAAGATAAAAGTGGCTCGACTGGCTTGGACGTCACACATCCCGGAACAGTGAGACTGAGAATGTTGATCATTTCGGGTGACAGTAGAAGGGTGTGGCACAACGATGATGAAGTGAAACAGTAGGGGAGAGTTGGGTAATTTGGCCGGTGCAGTGGTGTAAATTGGCCGCCCCCATCTGTACGAAAGCTGATAAAAGTGAATAAAATAGCTTTAGTCTCTATTCATTTGTCATCGGCAGAACTAACTCGAGAACAAATGTCAAAACTTTCCCCCTCTTAGTTTTATTCAAAATTAATAAAACGTGAATTTCGGTAGAAAATGGTAACTTTTACTTCCGTTTAAAAATTTGTATAACATGTAGTATTTGGGCTGTAAACGAATTCCAACATTAAAGCGCCATTCTTGAGGGTGTTCAGCGGTTCCAAGAGCAATTTCGTCTAGTTCTGTACAGCTATGACGACTTTATAGACAAAAATTTTCAGAATGGCAATGTGGGGTTATTTGGCCGGGACTAGCGGGGCAACTTGGCCGGTGCGCTCAGGGTCACTATGCTGGGACGGCCGAGTTGTCACGGTCAATTATACCATAAAGGACATAATTAATGACCAACTTTGACTACCTTGATGCCATATTTCCTATTGGACAGCTGTACGGGCATGTGACGTCATCAACGGGGACCTAACGTTTTTTTTTTTTTTGCTAATAAATACTTACAGAAAAAAGATACAGCCGCGCAAATGACCTCATTGTGTTCAGCTCGTCAAGGCGCATCGAATACATGATGACCTTGAACTCACGTAACCTTGAGGTCAAGCGACCTGAGGTAACGTGACCTGAAGCCAACCTTTGACCTTGACCTCTCGAGGTCAACACATACATGTTTCGATGCGGAATGACGAGAGAATTACGATGGTTCTTTTAGTTTTGGCCTAGCTTGATTACTTCAAAAGCTATTCGTAAAAAAAACTGTCATCGCATCTAGAGCCGCTATTTTGACTATTTTCGACCCCTGTGACGGCTGAGTCAACCTCCAAAATGCTTCAAATGCGTCGTAGGACACGCGTCATTGCTGAATGTAAGGCTGACTCGCCGATAACAAAAACCATGGCCCCAAACTAACACCGGCCAAATTGCCCCACACCCCCGGCCAAATAACCCTGCTAGTGGGGCAATTTGGCCGTTTTGCAGACCTTTGTAATACGTCACAATTTCAATATAAGTAGTTACCCTATCATTTCAAGTTTACTGTCTGTTATGTTTTGGTTCGTTTGAGTGAAAGAGCACACAATCAATGGAAAACGCGATTTATTTACTGCGATACGTTCAGGCCGAAAGAATGTCCGAGAAGAAAAACAAGTATGGCGAGCGCCGCCTCTAGTCGCACGCGCCAGTCATGCCGCTCGGCGCGCACAGTCAGCTGGCGGCGGCAGAGGCGCTCACAGGCACGGAGCCGGGGCGGCCAGCGGTGGCGGCGGCAGGGGCGCGCGCAGGCGCGGCCAGCAGCCGTGCGGGGGTTGGACCATAATACAACACCTCCCCCCCAAGACGATCACATCGTCTTCACCCCAAGGCGCCACAGCAGACCCTCCGGGGTCCGGGCGCACAAGGCCACCGCAGCGCGGTGCAGACGGCGGCGCCTGCGCTCTCTTCCGCGGCGTCTCGGGCGCTTCTTGCAGCGGACGCGCCCGCCGTCGCACGGGGAGGTCCGCGGCAGGCGTCGCTCCGGTGTCGGTGGCGGCCACGGGTCGCGGTCAGCGGCGGCTCTGGTCACCCCTAGACTCGGGGCCACGAGCGGCGGCAGACGCGCGTCGCACTCCGTATCCCGCTCAGCGAGCATAGCTGCGACGGCAGCTGCGTGAAGCGGGTCCTCAGCGTCCTCCCACACCTCGTCATCGACGGTCGGACCGAGCAGGTCATCCACCACCTCGACCGAGTGGAGGGTGGTGTCACCGAGGTTCGTGTCACCGCGCCGGTCGGACTTGTCACCGGCGGACACGCATCCCTGCGGCGTACGGAGGAGCGCGGCGGCGTGAGCCGCTACCATTTGTTCGGGCGGGTCTCCGTCCCCACTCCGTACTGGCAGGCCTCGCGCCAGCGGCGGCGAGGCTCCGTAGGCGTCAGCCAGCTCGGTAGGCTGCGCCGCATGACTACAGCCGGCTTGGCCGGTGCCCGCCGGCGGCGGCGACTCGGCGGTGCTGGCGGCTGGGCCTCCATCCGGGCTTCGAGTTGGCATGCCTCCCGCCGGCGGCGGCGAGGCTCCGTAGACGTCAGTATTCTCACTCAGCTCGGTGGGCTGTGCCGCACAACAGTCGGCTTGGCTGGTGTCCCCCGGCAGCGGCGACACGGCGTAGCCGGCGGCTGTACCTCCATCCCTGGTCCGCGTGGGTAGGCCTCCCGCCGGCGGCGGCGAGGCTCCGTAGGCGTCAGCCGGCCTGGTAGACTGCGCTGCGGTGCACCTAATCTGGCCAGTGTCCGCCGGCGGCGGTGACACGGCGGGGCCGGCAGCTGCACCTCGGCCCATGCTCAGCGTTTGTAGGCCTCCCCCCGGCGGCGGCGAGGCTCCGTAAGCTACAGCCGCTGCATCCGGGCCTGCAGGCTGCACCGCAGTGGCCCCGGGTTGGCCCGTGTCCGCCGGCGACGGCAACACGGCGTCACCAGCGGCTTCGTTTCCATGGCTGGTCCGCGTTGGAAGGCTTCCCGTCGGCGACGGCGAAGCTCCGTGGGCGTCAGCCGGCTTTGTAGGCTGCGCCGCGGTACATCCAGCTCGGTCCGTGTCCGCCTGCGGCGGTGACACGCCGGGGGCTGCCCCCATGGTCTGTGCTGGCCGGCCTCCCGCCGGCGGCGGGCAGGCTCCGTGGACGTCAGCCGGCTCGGTGGGCTGCGCCGCGGTACGGCCGGCTCCTCGGCCCGTGTTTGCCGGCGGCAACGACACGGCGGCGCCGGTGGCTGCCGATGGGCCTCCCGCCGGCGGCGGCGAGGCTCCGTACCCTCGGTCCGTGCTCCAAGTTGGGATGCCTCCCGCCGGCGGCGGCGAGGCTCCGTAGGCGTCCGTAGCTCCGTCCGGCTCTGTGGGCTGCGCCGCAGCACACCCGATTCGGCCCGTGTCCGCCGGCGGCGGTGACACGGCGGTGCCGGCGGCTACCGCTACTAGCGCCACCCCCGGAGAGTCGCATACTGTTGTCACTGCAGATGGCGCCACTGGACGATCGGCCGTGGCGGTGGCCCTCTGGTGGCACACCACCTCAAAATGCCCTAGTTCGCCACACGCACGACAGATGGCGCCAGCGGCGCGACACGTGTCTAGGTCGGCGTGCTGGCGACGGCCGCAGCTCGGGCAACGCCCCGAAAACTGACGATATGTTGCGGCGGCGGCATGGGCGACACTCGGCCGACTGCGGTCCCTCTTGTAGGCCGACAGGTGGGCCACGAAATGTCCCTTGGTGCCGCAGAGGTCTTGGCACGTGCAGGGGCGTCGCCACGGATTTTTGAGTGGGGGGGTCGGGTTTCTAGTCTTCACCCGATGGGTAGGGGTGTTTTTTTTTTGCCACACTTCCCAGTTTTGTGCGTGCGTATGTGTGTGTGCGCGCGTGTAACAAATCGGCGCGCAGCGCCGCGAAATTTGGTATAACCTATTAGGTAGGTATACCTACCTACATCACTTGCGTAAAAATTATCACTGGTCACTTAAGGTCAGGTCGCCATGTCAAGTTCAGTTATACGGTATACCTCTATCAAACTTTCTCCTCTCGCCATTCTTGTAGCTTTTCTCCCATAACTTCGAAATTTGGTACACTGTATACCTAATGTATGGGGTTATACGTATCAGCAATTCATTATTCTGAGGATTTGCATCTATGATCTGGAGGCAGGTCAAATACGTGACCTCATCATTAGAAAATAATGAGAAATTAGAAAAAGCACGAATGTCTCCTGCTTTGAAAAAGTTCGTCAGAAACGCAAAATATCTTTGGAGCCATGACAAATCAGCTCATCATTGCCAGGGACAGGGTGCAACTTATGGTGAGTGATGACTCGAAAGGTCATTAGTGGAAATGTCCATCGATGGCCACCAGCATTTTTTTCTACAACTTTTGACAAAGACGCGGTAGAGCGATGATAGCACCTGGAAGGTGTTCACTGTTCAGCTCAACAACACGGATCCATTCATATGCAGCAGGAGGTCCTTTTTCGATCAGGACATAACGTTGACCTGAGGTCGTTTTAACGTTAATTCTGAATGGTCAAATTTTAACTCATGTGACGCGTCTCAAAGAAATAAACACGGTGGTGACAAGACAACATATGTAAATACCAAACAAATTCACGGAATCTAAAGTTATTGCAAAGCAAATGTTTCGGCAGAATCTGTCCAGCTAGCTGTTTGCCTTCTATGGGCAAAACATAGACCTGAGATGAAATCTGACGCGAAGCTAGCGAAAGAGCGTTGAAAGAGCTATCGAATATGTTTTCTGCTTCACTGTAGCCCTTCTATTGGTGGGTTCCCAGTCGCTAACGTATAACGTATACTAAAGTACCGCTGAGGTATGCTTTCGACCCCTGATCGATCTAGAGGTTTGCGGAAAAAGAGCATGCTGCCCGTGACGAGAGAAAGCCGATGATACCCATTTACAAGGTTTCGGGTCATCTCAGGACTCAGGTCATCGCCAATAAGTAGGGAAACTCGGGACCTGCTAGAACTTTGCGAATGTCAGTTGTGATGGTTTTTCGAGGTTCTGATTACGAATGTTATCTTAGTTTTGAACGAAGACGATGACTCCATGCATTTGGGGTAGATCAGGTCAGGTCAGATCGACCAGTACCTAATAGTGGATGACCACCACCGATTGCTTCCTAACATGTTATACATATGTATAAGCAGCACAACTACTTCTTAAATGTTCAGATGGGCGCTAAGTTCAAAATCAGCTCCAAAAACTTTCCTATTCCTAAATTAAAAGCATGTTATGAAAAAGTGAACCAAGGTCATCTTTATTTGAATCAGGGATATCGATTTATTTTTTAGTAGGTGATTAACTCGAGCGCACCGGAAGTTTCGTTGCAATCGGCTCCTTTTTGCGCGACTTCTTTGCGAAAGCCCGAGACGGTTTCATCTGACTCCCTTTCCCCTACATGTGCACTGTACAGCTAGTTGTGACGGTAGCCATGGGGCTGAGGCTAGTTTGTAGTTTTGTAGTTAGGTACTGATCCGACGAATCGACTGCGACCACTTTTTTTAACGCAGACGAACGCTCGGGGCAGTTTTGGCGCGTCCAATCTTTTGAGGGATAAAAAGGCCTACTAGAATGGTGGCTACTTAAAAATATTGTTGTGCTGGTGTTCCCCGCCCATAGCTAATTGAACTTCAGGTAATTGGCTAATTGGCTTTAGGGAGCTCTTGAAGCGATTCTGAATCTGATGTATTTGTTGGTGTTGCTGACGCCTGCTTCACTGACATAAAAGCTAAAAAAGCATACTCAGCATCGCAAAAAGTGGGGGGGGTCGACACCCCCAGTTTTCAAGAGTGGGGGGTCACGACCCCCCGACCCCCCCGTCGGCGACGCCCCTGGGCACGTGACATGGGCACTCCACGTTTCCCCCACTGTCACGGCGTGTCTGAGCGTCGGCTCAGAGTCCTCTAGCCTGCTCACCGCTCCTGTCACACTGTCGCGCACACTGCACTCGACACGGGCTTTGCACGTCGAGGCCGACTTCAGGTGCGGGGCCGGGGTCGCCGACGCCGGCAGGCAGACAGTCCGGCGGGCGGCGGCAGCTGGTCCAACGGATCCATCAGCGCCTCGCTCAGCCCCCGACTCTGACACTCCGGCCGTCGTGCCCGTTCCGGTCCCCGCGGAGGGCTCTCTGTACAGCAGCCTCTCCAAACGCTCCAGGCGCTTGTCGGCCTCGGCGGCTCTCTCCGCCTGCCTCTCCAGCAGCGCCGTCAGTTCCTGAATCAAAATTTTCTTCATCGCGCTGTAAGCTGCTCAGTCACGTAATTACAAAACCGACCGCGCCATGTTATGTTTTGGTTCGTTTGAGTGAAAGAGCACACAATCAATGGAAAACGCGATTTATTTACTGCGATACGTTCAGGCCGAAAGAATGTCCGAGAAGAAAAACAAGTATGGCGAGCGCCGCCTCTAGTCGCACGCGCCAGTCATGCCGCTCGGCGCGCACAGTCAGCTGGCGGCGGCAGAGGCGCTCACAGGCACGGAGCCGGGGCGGCCAGCGGTGGCGGCGGCAGGGGCGCGCGCAGGCGCGGCCAGCAGCCGTGCGGGGGTTGGACCATAATACAACACTGTCCAGGAAAGTAAAATGTATGCCACACTTGTCAGCGTTGAGAAAATGCAGAAATGTGTTGTCGATTTTTAGTTACATCGATTTCTAAAAAAAAGCGGCCAAATTACCCCACTCTCCCGGTCCCCTACTTAAGCCATGCCTAAACACCATTCGGTGTTACTGAGTTGGTTTTAGATCATTACCACTCGGCCTCGGCGCTGACGGTTCCAGTGAACTGGTCCCGTCGGCCACCGCTCTTGTTGATCCGTTCGTGATTGTGGGCGCCATAAATGAAGACAATGGCCACGGCTGACATCAGCAAACGTGCCGATCACGGCGCCCGGGGTGGCGTGATGACCCACAGACTCGTTAGCCAGGCCTCCGTGCCAGTCTATAAAGCAGCCGACACGTCACCAGAAGTGACAACATCCGGTGCCTCTAGTGACAACATCCAGACTCGTGCCATGATCGGCCAAACACGGTCAATGGACTCTTGTAAATTGTTTTCTTCTCCGCTGTATGTAGTCCAAAACAAGTCAGAGTCTGAGCCATGATGTTCCATTACTCCACAATTTCCATTGCTTTTGAACTTAACCTCATTTCTCAGGAATATATGACGCAATAAAACATGAGTCAGGACAAGGGCCATCACTTTGCTCCTGCCCTACAAGATAATTATTTCACAAAACGAACTAAGATGCCTGTAAAACCGTCTGACGCCCTGTCCGACGGTGTTGGTAACATAGCGGTAGCGGCCGATCCTTTTTCTCCACCCCGCCAAACCAATCACACTCAACACTTTGCATAGAAGTTGCATGACTATTTAGTGGATCACAATGGGTATTGTTTGGCGATAGTGGTGTCGGGTCACACTCAATGGTCCACCTATCAGCAATCGCATCACGCACCCAGGAAATGTCACCCGCTGCACAATTACCCGCAAAGCGTTAGACAATGTCCTGTGATTACAATGTCATACATAGTCCAGCGACGCGTATGGACCGAATGACGCATACGGCTGACCTCAGTCCTTAAATTCTCCTCAAAATCGTTCGCTCACAAAACTGAATACGCGCCAAAACGGTTGACCTGAAGTGCGATAAACCTTGCACGACTGGCTTGAAACGTGTTGAGCTTTCTCATGATGTTCAGCTTTTAGTTTGCAGACTACGGATACACATCGGCAATTACAATACAGGGTCCTGCAAAAGTCTTGACATAGTTTTAAAATCGTTCCACACCTCA